TGGGAATGACCCTTATTGAGAGCTCGAAAGACGTCTAGCTAAAGAGGTTAAATTAAACGCTTGTTGGGAGGCAACCCATCGTTTAGGTTTGTTTTTTTTATATTTTTTTTTATTTTCGTTTTTTATTTTATTTTATTATTATTATTTTTTTATTTTATTTTTTTAAAAAAAACTGGAAAAATAAAAAAAAAAGTGAAAAAAAATATCAATAAAAAAAAATGGTGGTGATCGAGTGTTCGAGCGGAGCATGGAGGAGATGATCGTGCTAAAGGGTGCAAGGATTGCTTACGATGGAGCTCGCTCGACTTTTCGGTTAGTTACATAAGGTGTACGTCATTCTTTTTTTTTTTAAAATTTATTCTTTTCCAAAGAATAAGTTTGGGGGAAGAAGTGTCGTCTATCTTGAGTTTTTATCGTTTTATTGCATATCATATAGTTGCTTGCATTAGCTTTTTTTATGATTTTTTTTAGGTTATTTTTATTGTTTTTAGGATGCACGTTTACTTGCTTTATTAGATTAATAATAATTTGGTTGAGTCGAGTATTTCTGCTTTGTCTTGTGTGTGTTTCGGATGATTGGTGGAAAGACAAGAATTGATTAGAGTTGCTTATCTTAATTAAGATATTGTGATGGTGATCATGAATTATATGCCTTGATGAGTAACTTATTGCCTTGAATTAATGATTTATTTGCCTTGGAGAGGATTTGAGCCTTTATTTTATTTCTTGTGTGATTAGTCGAATACATAGGATACTAAAACTTGCATTGGTTCTTACTTGAAAAATCTGATTATGTACGTGGAGTTATGAAAATGATTTAGGCGGATTTTGTTATCTAGCCCGTTTTAGCCTCTTTTATTTTTCCTAAAATTTTATCCTTAGTAGCCCGTTTGAGCCTTGAGCCTTCTCTTGATAACCCTTGATGTGATTGATTTTTATTATTTGGAGATGTTGGGGGTTGAATGAAGCTTTATGTGATGATGAGCTATGGTGATTTTTTGTTTTGGGAAGATTGAGTATGAGATGAGTTATGATTTATTTTTTTGATTTGAGGCATTTGATTGAAAAAAAAAAAAAAAGAATAAAGAGAGCTCGCAAGGTGAATTGTGGGGATTCTACTCCTCTTACTCTCGATTTGATTTTTCGAGTCATGAGTAATGAGTAATGGGAAACTATTCTAGGACACTTGGATGATCTCCAATGGTTACACCTAGAAAATGTTGTCCCTACAATATATTCTTGTTTGGAAAAAAAAAATGGTCTCTCAAAAAAAAAAAAAGTTGAAGAAAAAAATTAATCAACTGCCGAGATTTGCATATATGGTATTGTGCTTTATAGAGTTGTGTATGTATGTTTTCTTGGGAGATAATTGGAGATAGGGGATGGTGATTTTTCATCGATGTCTTGTTCGATTTTTTTAGTCACTTGGCCTATAATTTCCCACCTTGTTCAAAGAGCCTACATTACAACCCAAAAGACCTTTTGATTCATAGCTCACGTACATTAATTATATTTAGTAAAGTGTAGACAATTTGCAAGCTTATGGTTGAACTTGTGTTTCAAACTAACTTGAGCGTATCTTTCTATTTTATATTGATATTTCACAAGATATTTGAGTGAGGCACAAATATATTTGACCTTATTTGAGAGTTCATTAATTCAAGGTATTGTCAAGTTAGGAGTTGAGGCAAATGTATTTGAGATCACTTGAATTTATCTTGATTATTTGGGGTGACTTGATGCTTTTCTTGTTTGAAATTACTTTTCATGCACGGGGTTTGTTTTTGCTTATTGATTGTTCGGGGACGAACAATGGTTAAGTTTGGGGGATTTGACATGCGTCATTTTTACGTGCATTTTATAGTGATTTTCGTGTCCGTTTCGTTGTAGTTTAATAATTAATTAATAATTTATTTAATTAATTTTATTAAACTATGATGATGTGTTTTATTTGAGTTTTGACAGAAAATAGGTTCCATATAATTATCGGAGTTGAAAAAGGCGAAAACCGGTCAAAGACGTTATGCATGTGACGTATTTGGACAGACCCAATTACATAGCCCGTAAGAGAGTTTGTGTCAAAGAATAATTTCCAGCCCATATGATACTTATGTTCAACCCAATTAGAATTTAAAAGATGTGTTGGCCTTAGTTTAAGCCCAAGTGGTATAAAGCTAGTAAGGGTACAAAGGTAATTTGACATGGGTTGTCTTCTTCACTCTTCCTCTTCATGCACGTTTTCTGCCATGGTTGCCATGTGAAGCCGCTGCAAATTCACTACCACGCAACGACGGCGCCGCCCTCGACCCTCGCAGGATTGCCGGAGCTCCGACCAAAGAGCTTATCACCGTTTATGAGAGAAAATCAAGATGAGCCTATGCTGTTCAACTTTATCCACGCAGGCTGCCATGGACGGCCTCTGGAAGTCTTCTGACCACATGGGACGCCAGAAACTCGACCAGGAGCTTTGAAGAGGGAAGAAAATAACGTTTTTTGAGCTGTTTTGAACTCCCAGGCCAACACGGGTCGTGTGGCGTAAGACACGAGTCGAGTCATTCGACGAGTCGTGAATGGAGCTCTCGGCATTCTCACACTACTCGTGTGGCCAGAGACACGAGTCGTGTGACCCTGGGTGCGACCAATACGCGTTTTGCGCGTTTTTCCTATTTTTTCGGTATTTTCGACCTATTTCGATTAGGACTCGACCCCAACGATTTAAGTGACACTTGGACACGTTTTTGGGGAGTCTGGAACCTAATTTTCAGATCTTTGGAGAGTTTTGGAGGCTAGAAACACGAGCAAGACGAGGGAGAAAGCCCGGGAAGAAAGGATCGACGGAGCCGAATAAGCTTTTTCTTTCTTTTTCTTTTCTTGTTTTCGAACTCAATCTTTTATATTTATTTTTCCTATTTTGAAAGCATGTTTCTAGACTAGATTTATCTTAGATTCTAGGATTTGTTAGTACTCGGATTGATTTATGATTTAGTTTTTATTTATTTCATTCCGGTTTATCTTTCGTTTATGAATTTCTTTTGCATATATTTATTGTCTGAGTAGATGGCCACTATGAATGCATAATTGTGATCGATTTGAGACCGAGAGGAGATAATTGATTGCTAGAATTGGGAAATTTATAACGTGAGAGACTAAACAGACCGAGAGGTTGATAGAATCTTACGAGAGAACGAAAATCCTAGGAACTTATGGAAGTTAGTTGTTCATCTTGAGACCGAGAGGAGATAGATAACAATTAATATCTATGATTTGCCTGTTCGAGAGAAAAGTTGAAATCAATTTAGTGATTATCTCTACGATTGGCAAAATTAAATAAGGTTTGTATGAATATAAGCGTTTCATGAATTAATTCCGAGGAAAGCAGAACCTAGAATCTATCTTTATATCTTGGTTTATTTTTATTGTTCTAGGTAAATTAGTTTTTAGTTTAATTTCATAGTTTAAAATCATCATCCAATTCATTAGTCTAGATAATATTTAATAGTTATTATTTTAGTACTTATTAATTTAACTACAATCTCTGTGGAATACGACCTTGCTCGCCACTACCTATAGCTACGCCGTACACTTGCGGATAACAAAAATAATTAGCGAACATTGTTTCCAGCATTATGAAGGTTGAATTCCACCTTGTTGGCACATCTAAAACACAAACTTTTTTGCTATCCAACTCCTCCTTTCTTACACATGCTCTAAATTCTTCAAGTCTAGCAGATGAACTTCTAACATACTTTACTGCATTCCTAATAGAAGCCACTGACTTATCCATGCAATTTAATCCAGATTTAACAATGAGATTCACCACATGAGCCAAACATCTTACATGCAGATATTTTCCCCCCAAAACTTGTTTATCACCATTGTTAAGCTTTCTTTTCATATAATCTAGTGCAACCTTATTGGCAGATGCATTATCAACTGAAATGGTTAAAACTTTCCTAATTGACTACTCTTGCAAGCAATTTTCAAGAAGCTTTCCTATTGTTATCCCTTGATGATTTGGAATGACACAGAAATTAAGGATCCTCTTATGCAAAGTCCAATTAGCATCAATAAAATGGGCTGTTATCACCATGTAATTGATGTTTTGGATTGAAGTCCATGTGTCAGTTGTCAAACTAACACAATGATTCTTAAGTTCATTTTTTAAAGCTTCTTTCTTAGTATTGTACATACTTAAGAAAGACTTAACCACAAATTTCCTAGAAGGAATTTGCCACTTAGGAACAGCTACATCACAAAATCTCATAACCATTCTTTTCAATTGCAGAAAATGGCATTTCATCAATCAAAATCATTTCAACAGCAGCATTAGTGCAATTTTCTTGTGTCCTATGTGTAACAACAACATCTTTACCCTCTAAATCCACAACAAAATGCTTCTGACCCTCTCTTAAGTTTCTAGCACTACCCGGATAATTATCACAATGCAATTCAAGGTGTTTTTGCAGAGTACTAGTCCCATTCCTAGTCGAGTTGCAAGCTAGATCAGATTGGCAATATTTACATTCAGCTCGGGTAGTCTTTCCAACTTCTACCTTCACACCCTCTTCATTTGCAACCATCAACGGCTTATGGAAGATTTTGAAGTGGTCCCACACCCACGACCTCTTCTTATTTCGTTCTGAAGCCTCTCGTAATCTTCTTTTCTTCTGTGACTGTGGGTTCTTCGAATTAGGGTTTTGTTTCTTCCCTTTTGAGGTACGAGCATCTTTAGACAAGTTTGAGCTTTGACTGTTGCTACTCTTTTCAAATTCTGAAGCCATGAGCATTGAGCAATTGAGGGCTTAGGGTTCAAATTTTGAAGCTCAAAATCAAAACTCGAAAATCGATTTAGGGCTTTAAACTTCAAAATTGAAGATGGAAATGATCAAATGAAAAAGGGATTTTCTTTTAGGGTTTGGAATCGATTGTGATTCGATTTTTGATTTGCGATTTAGGGGAGAAGAAATGTTTTTTTCGACTTTCGACGGGGAAGAGAAAGAGAAACTGAGAAAGAGGAATTATGTGATGAGAGTGAAAGTGATCGTTTTTGTTTCATTTGACCACAATTAAATTAATTAACTAAGGTTAGTTGTAGAGTGTTATTATAGATAGTTAGACAAACTATGGCAGGTTAATATATATAGTAATAGTTCTTCGGTTATTCACGGATGTTTGTACATGAAACCGATCAACCGAACCGAAAATGAAGTGAAATAAACTGAGCTGAAAAAACTTGCCAATTTACATGATTAATCGGACCAAACCGGCTTATTTCGGTTCAGTCCGGACCGATTTGCCGGTTTCCGGTTCGAAAATCCCACCCCTACTCCCCCGTAATGCTCATTTTTATAATTTCAAGCTTTTCGTGCAGAAATAAACCGAGCCGAAAAAACTGCCAATTTACATGATTAACCGGACCAAACCGGCTTATTTCGGTTCGGTCCGGACCGATTTGCCGGTTTCCAGCTCGAAAATCCCACCCCTACTCCCCCGTAATGCTCATTTTTATAATTTCGAGCTTTTGGTGCAGAATCTTGGATCTTGGTCTCGGTAGTGACACTGACATCCTCTCGAGTTATGTTTTCTTCTCGAACCATTCCAAGCGTGTTCGAAACTCTTCGAATTTTGAAAAATTGAGCCCTTTGGTAAAAACGTCAGCTACTTGATCTTCAGTACCAACATACTTCATCTCTATCTCCCCTTTGAGCACTTTTTCTCTAACGAAGTGATAGTGGCGACATGTTTTGTTCTCGCGTGGTACACTTGATTTTCTTCTATGCGTATAGCGGATTGATTATCACAATATAGTTGTACTGCAGAGCTAAATGGCTGATGTAGATCTTTTAATAATTGCATAAGCCATGTGCTTTCCTGAGCCGCCATTGCTGCTGCTCGGTACTCGGCCTCTGCTGTTGATAGGGACACTGTAGGTTGTCTTTTGCTACACCATGATATTGCAGCTGACCCAAACTTGAACAATACCCAGTAGTGGACCTTCTTGTATCACCACATCCGGCATAGTCCGCGTCGCAGTAGCCAACAATTTTTATATCTTTATTCCTTTGATAGAAAAGTCCATAGTCAATTGATTCTTTTACATACCTTAGTATGCGTCGGACTAACTCAAGGTGTGGCTTCTTTGGTTTCTCCATTAATCGACTTGCAATCCCCACTGCCTATGAAATGTCTGGTCGTGTTAGAGTTAGGTAGATTAGGCTTCCGACCAACTGCCTGTACATAGTTGCATCCTCCAAGTCTTTTCCATCTTGAGCGCATATCTTGGCGTTTGCTTCAATTGGAGTCGTTAATGGCTTGCAGTCAATCATGACAAATTTCCTTAATAAATCTTTAGCATATTTTGACTGACACAATAAAAGACCATTGCCTTTTTCTTTTAGCTCAAGTCCCAAAAAGTGCTTAAGTTCTCCAAGCTCTTTCATTTGGAATCTTACCAATAAATTCTTCCTGGTTTGTTGGATTTCTTCTTCATCGTCTCCAGTGATAATGATATCATCTACATATACTAGCAATATTGGCTAGTTTTCTTTCTCGTTTCTTAACAAAGAGGTTCGAGTCTGCTGGTGCAACAGAGTATCCACACTGAATCAAGAATTCAGCGATCTTACCGTACCATGCTCGTGGTGCTTGCTTTAACCCGTATAGGGCCTTCTTTAGTTTGCACATGTAGCCTGGATTATCTTTATCCTCGAACCCCGCAGGTTGGACCATGTATATTTCTCTGTCGAGCTCTCCATGTAAAAATGCATTCTTCACGTCCATCTGCCATAATTTCCAGGACTTGCTTGCTGCTAGTGCAATCAGTACTCGAACTGTTGTGATTTTTGCCACTGGGCTAAATGTCTCGTCGTAGTCTAGCCCGTACTGTTGTGAGAATCCACGTATAACAAGCCGAGCTTTATATCTTTCAATTGATCCGTCAGGACGCCTTTTAATTTTATAAACCAATTTACAAGATATGGGTTTAACTCCATCCGGTTTGGGTACTAAGTCCCACGTTTCATTTTTCCTTAGAGCCATTATCTCCTCATTAATTGCTTTTATCCATTCTTTATTTTTAATTGCTTCCTCAAATATTTGTGGCTCATTTATACTTGTATCTTCTTCTAAGGCTATATTGGCGTACCTGGGATTTGGCCTCTTTTGTCTTGAAGATCTCCGTAGTTGTTGTGGACTTGTCGGTACTTCACCTGCTTCCTCTCCTGGTGGCTCAATCTCCTTGAGTTGAGTTGGCCTCATCACTTCTGGAGTTACTTCATATACACCTTTTTGCCACGGACATTGAGTTGTTCTTGGTGACTCTCCTTCCTCGTCTGATTCTTCCATTCTTTGAGTTGCTTCTGGAAGTTTCACCCATTTCTGGAGCTTATCCTCGATTTTTTTTAATCTGGTAGCTCTGACTTCTGCGGTGTCCACCAAGAAGATGCTTCATCAAATATCACGTTGTGTGATATGTAACACCAACCGGTTGATGGATCGCAACATCTCCACCCTTTTCTTTGGTCGTCATATCCCAAGAATATGCATCTGATTGCCTTCTTGTCAAATTTGCTCCGTAAGTGACTTGGTACGAACACGTAACAGACGCATCTGAAAACTTTGAAGTGGCTAACAGTTGGTTTGATTTTCCATAGCTTTTCGAATGGTGACATGAATCCCAGCTTTGCTTGTGGTAGCTAATTTATCACGTGGGCCGCCGTCTTCATACATTCTGCCCAGAACCTCGTAGGTACGTTCTTTGCATGCATGTATCATGCTTCGACATGTTTCTGTCAGGTGTCGATTTTTCCATTCTGCTATGCCATTTTGCTGAGGTGTGTTTGGACACGTCAGCTGATGGTGTATTTTATGCTCCTTCAGTAATCGGGAAAATTCTCTTGATGTGTATTCTCCCCCGTTGTACGTGCGAAGGCACTGGATCTTATCTCTGACTTCTCTTTCAACAGATTCTTTGAAATATTTAAACTTTTTGAATACTTCCGATTTTTCTTTAATAAAGAATACCCAAACTTACCTTGAGAAGTCTTCGATAAATGTCACCATATCCCGCATACCGCTGATTGAAGGTTGTTTAACTGGCCTGAATATGTCAGAGTGAATTGTCTCTAGAGGCTTCTTTGCTCTGTAGCTTGAATCTTCAAATGGTAGTTGATGTGCTTTACCATATTGACAGCCAACGCATATTGTGTTATCTCTTATTTTCAGTTGAGGGAGACCCTTCAACATTGATTTCTTCATCATCACCTTAAGCTTATGATAGCTCACATGTCCCAGCCTCGCATGCCATAAATCGGCCGTTTCATTTTTTCGAGTCTTATCTACATAAGCAGACTTTGCTGCCATTACGTAGATGGACTCGAGCTTTAGACCCTCCATGATCGGTGTGCCGATAATTTTGGGATTTTCGTACACTTTAACGTTATATGGTCCAAAAATAACATAATTCCCTGAAGTTGTCAGTTGTGATACTGATAGAAGATTTTTCTTCATACCTGGGACATGATAGACGTCCTGCAGTTGCACTTGACCAGGACTAAACCGTGAAGTGATGATCGTCTTGCCAATATGGGCTATTGGCAACCTCGAATTGTTAGCAGTGACAACCATTCGGCCTCTGTTGTATTCAGTTGTGTTCTGCAACTTTTCTTTGTTCCCTGTCATATGGTTGGAGCATCCTGAGTCCACGATCCAATCATTCTCATAATCTATTCATCCAGGGACAACGACTCATCATTTGAGCTTGATTGCTCTTCTTTACGGGCCTCCTCAGATACAGTTGGGACGATCTCCTCGACTATCGCCATGGATGCCTCTATGTCCCACTCTTCTTCACTGTTGTTAGTCTCCTGGTTGTTGGACGTTGCTATATTCCCTTCAGCAACCTTTTTCTTATCCAACAATCTCTGGCATAGTGATTTGGCTTGCCACATACGTAGCACGAGCCCTTTTTATTTCCCTTGGACGTTTGATATTTCTTATAACGATTATGTTGGACCCCCTTTGTTTCAAAGCTTCTTTCTTTCTTTTTAATATATTCCTTTTTGTCTCTTTTATTTTGTTGGCGTGGTCTCATAGTCTTTATATAACTAAATAAAGCTTCATCTTCTTTCTTTAATGAGACTTCCGCCATTTGTCTGGTCAGCGCTTCTTGGTCGGCTAATATATTTTCAAGATTTACCAAAGAAGCCTGCTCAGAACAACCTTGTATTGCGGCTATAATCCCCCTAAATTCGGGTCTTAAGCCATGAATGATAATTCTTCTCATCTTAGCTTCTGAAACATTATCAGTTGGGTCCAATTCAGAGATTTCACGAAAAAGAGTTCGTACCATGTTAAAGAAGTCGCGTACCGTCATATCCCCTTGTTTGAGTGACAGGAGCTCGTTCTCGAGAAGTTGTAGCTTGAACTCATTCTTTTTTGAAAATAATGCTCCCAGAGTGTCCCACGCTTGTTTTGGAGTGCTTGCGTCACGTATGTGCTCCAACAGCTCTTTGTCAATAGTCGTCTTGAGTGCGTACATGGCCTTTCCCGCCTTTATCTTCCATTTACGTAAGGCCCCAGCTTCTTCGGGTGGTGCGGCCTCTTCTCCGCCAACAATTTCTCATAGATCTTGGCCTTGGAGATACGACTCCATGCATGTCCTACATGTGGTGTAATTTTGATTATTGAGTTTCTCCATTCCGCCTACTGATTCTAGATCCGCCATCGTGACTTGAACAACCTCCTCGTAACCAAGCAAGCCTGAAGCGCTTCACAATTTCTTTTAATT